AGGAAGGACTGCTGTGGGGTTTTGGAGGGGTTTTTTTGTGGTGTGTCACCACATACCAGATAAATAACTGAGAAATCACTGTCCATACTAAGGGTTTCAGAGATAATCTTACTTCATAAAGAAAGCTTTTACATTCACCAAAATATAGCAAAACAAGCTAGGAAGAGAAACAGAAAGGAGATGAAACAATTGTCAAGTAAATCTAATGACAGTGACGGTATGAACTACAACAGGGATGGCACAATGCAGAGGAAATCAAAGTTCAAAAAATATCCTGTAGGATCAAGTGCCATAAAGGGTAATACGATTAAACAAGAAATGTCGTGTGTGTGTGTGTGAATCTTTGAATTGCTTATGCTCTGTGGAAATGGAGGAGGGAAACAAATGTTCATGCTCCCTACTGCTGAACAATATGAAAAGTAAACCAACATCCCTGGTATCAGATTTTCTTTCTTTCAAGATCCAAAAAGCACAGCAGTAAGCAATCTGCTGTTTGTATAGGTGTGTCAGCAGAGAGGAGGACAGCAAATTGGAGCATTACACATAACAAAAAATCCCCTCTAGATCATTGCTTCTCTCCCCTATTCTCTCTGCCATGAAACAGTAAAAGGAAAACCAGCTGCAGTCTGGTTTACTAGTAAAAAACAAGAACAAACGTAAAAGGAACACCAGGAGAAAGTGTAAACCAAGACTAACACAGAATATTGTAGCCTCTATTAATCCATTTCATATTGCCCTTTCAGTTAAGCCTTAGCAATAACACTGAAGGTAAACTAAGTGGAGGTACACTAAAGTTAAAAAAAAAAAGAGTAAGGACACCAGACCACAGCAGTTAGCAAAGCATTGTAAAATTGTCCCAGGCTATTGATTGCAAAGTACTTCTCTATTTTATTTTGTAGAAAGAACCTTACAGTCAAATACATATGTAGCAAAATATACACAGGAACCTAATTTTATAAAGGCAAACCCCAAGAACAATAAAAAGCAGCTCCAAGTGATATTTTCTCTCCAGTTGTAAAACATCTGACACAGATACGTTTGGTCTAAATACTATCAACCAGTAATTAATTATGTATTCTGTGCTAGAATTTAACCTCAGAGAGCAGTGAGAAGGAAAAAAAAGCAAATCTCACTGGGTTACCTGTGAACAGTCAGCAGTGGAGATAGGACTCATTTACTTGATGGAACTCCTCATCAGTGCCTCTCAGGTTGTGGTACTATGAACACAGGTGATTCACATGATGCCCATGTGCATAAGCATTTCCATGCCTAAAGGACTAAATTAAGCTCTGTCTAACCACAAGGTACCTTTGAATAATTGAAAGTAATCTTAAAATTCAGAAGTCCACTCTTTTAGAATTCCTAGAAGAAACTAGTATTTTTATGGTGTAAGCATTGGGCGTTTTTTGTTTTGTTTTTTGTTTTTTTTTAAAACCCTAAAAGTGTGTGCCTTATGTCTACTCTTTACTAAGACACTCTCTAAATTCTTTTTTAAAGAAGTACTGG